AGGTTCTGATCGCCGACTTTTCGCAGTCTGCCTCAGTCCCCCAACAGCCTGCGCGGCCCTTGGTAACCCTTGCGACGACCGAGCCGGTATAATTTCCGAAGGCGTCAATACCATGGGTGGCAGGTGGCTGAATTTTACGGAGACTTGTCACGGTCTGCAACCCTCTTCCTTTCTCAAACGGGCTTGGGACCGGCCATGGCGGAGTTCTTGAATTCATACTTTCCTAAATTAAAGTAGACAACGGAGCAACCATCCCGTGCCGACTGCAACTCCGTAAGTCTATTTATTTTATTTTCTATTTAAATCGTGTGCATATAATTTATTTATTTGTACTGGAATGTAGAATTCTTTAGTGATATGATTTATGCAGTGAGCTTTTAATCTCAGTTTTCGTCATTTACAGTCTGCTGACTGTAGCGAAAGAGTTACCGTAACATCAGTAGATTTGCAGGTTTGTGTGTATATTAATCGAATCCGAGTTGTGTTGCGTGGTTGACGTCGTTACACTAGAAGGAGCCTAAACTTATTTGGCCGAGCATGATAAGCTAGTTACAACTGTATGAGTGACGAGTATTTATGTGCGCGTTTTCAGGCCAGCGGAATTGTTGCAGCTGGGCTTGGTATTGCAGCCGTCGGCGTTTTGGGTCGCTTTGCGTTCAAGGCAGGCCAGCAGGTGTTTCAGACGGTGAAACGGATCGACCTGATTCCTCCCGGCGCGTTCTCGAAGTATTACCGTGGAGGTTTCGAACGACAGATGACGAGGCGAGAGGCGTTTCTCATTCTGGGTATCAGGTAATTAACTAACGGACCGACAGGCGGTCGTCCGAACGTTGCGGGACTTTTGAGCAGGTGATTGCGCTGGTTGTTTCCGTTTAGTCCTTCTTCGAGCAAAGAGCGTATCCGAGAAGCGCATAAACGCGTAATGTTGCTCAATCACCCTGACCGAGGCGGCTCACCGTACATTGCGGCAAAGATCAACGAAGCCAAAGATTTCCTCGACCAGAAGTGATGGGCGATGTGGCGAGTACCTACCTTACACTGAACGGTACGAAGATGATGCCTGACTTCAGGGCGGCATGAGTCGTACTTACGTTGCTGCCTTTCTTTGTAGTTTTTGGTTGTTATTTTGGGCTGTTGTCCAGTCGGACCGAATCCAAACTTGCCAGGTCCTCCGGACCACTTCCATTCTACCGGCAGAAGGTTGGATTCTTCCGGACATTGCCAACGCCCTTAACAACTGTGTAGACGCAGTGCTGTTTACAGTGACGCAGATATTCGCTTCGTTATTCGCCATGCGTTGATCTTCTTGAAATAAAATTGACCCTATCTGACGATATTTGTATGCACCTGTAATCTTTTCCGTCATTTTCCTATTTCGAGCGAGTCACAGTTCTGAGTTTAAACTGGAAAACCATTGGCCTTATAGCTTTCGATGCTTTTTCTTCTGCAGTACCGATGTTTAATTTGTGGGGCGAACATTCGATGGCTGATAGTTTGACTGCCCGCACCCACAGTTGCTGAAAAGTACAGGAATTTGTTTGAGGATGACATGCAATACGATGATCTGACTTAACCGGTGTTTGAAAGGAAAAACGAAAATGTTTCAAAACAGGAACTTTATCGCCGACCCGAAAAAAATAACAGGCTTTGTAAAAAAATAGTTTTCTTAAATAAGCTTTTGATTCTGGGTCTGTAATTCACCATCTAACTATTTTTGTGAAGAATGGTTACGAAATCTAAACGTAAAATAGAAATTGAAAGGTTTTACTAAGTCGCATGTTTCCTTAACTAACAACGGTAGCATCATCAGGACTGAATAATTGAATTGCATTTTAAAATGTCAGACGCTAGAGCAGATCAGCATGTTTCTAGAAATGTTTCTGTCGCTTTTTCAATGATGTGGCGAAATCCACCATGACATTCAACGACCTTTAATGATGATATAAATTAAGAAATTTGTACTAAAACGATTTTCTTAAAATATTTTCTTCGAGTTAAACGATAAATCAGTTTCTCCTAACTACTCTTTCTTGATAACGAAGAAGAAGGTTTGTCGCTGTTGAAATGTCGCTCTTCATTTGCTTTCATGATTATCCATTTTGGCGCCCTTCTTTTCATGACGTTGGTGGTGCTCTGCTGATCTTCGTTTCTGTGCAGTCAGCCAGAGGTGCCTTATTTTAAAAACTACAGCCATGTGACAAGCATGTGTCGTCTCCTGCTTCTATCACACAGAATAGTACTCATTTATCAACCTCAGAACGGAGAAGGGCGCGTGACCCCTAAACGGGCTTGAACTCAGGACCTATCGGTTGAGTTCGATGCTCCACCAGCTGAGTAATCCTGGTCTGAAATAGCGTGTGGTAACTAGTTTAAGGGAATTCGTGAATATGACATTACCCTCGAGTGAAATCCGACCTGGCTTCTCGATGTTTCGAAGTTGCTTGCTCTCTCAGACACTGCGATCGCGCCATTTCGTGGTTTACTTGATACATGGTTAGGTATCCCAAACGTTAAACTGTGATGGAAAGATTTGACGCAGTAGCTCGTTTCGTTACCAATATCATGAGGATTGAGTAAATGATAAACTGCAACCTACGTTTTGGCAGTGCAATAAGTATTACTAGCATGAACCTGAACCTTGCCTCATTCATCGCCAGATTTTCATGAAACAGGTTATTGTCAGCACGATAAAGCGATGAAGAGTATTCATTTCGCATTCCGTGTCAAAATATCAAGCGGCTTATTAATAGCCGTAACTTGGTGTTGTCATGCAATTACCAAAACAGTTGTTTCGCTAACAGCGTCCTTCACCAGTGGCATGGGATACATTGCTCGAGTATTGTAGTTGCTAACTGTGGAGAGATGCTTCTCTATTCTGATATTAAGACGCCTTTAGGTCGTACTTATAAATTCTTGCGCATTCGCTGCATCTAATATTATGAACTACGTAACAGGCTCCCGCTGGATTGTTTTGAAGTAGTTTCGTGATAAGCATCCCAGATGTTCCATCTTTTATATCAGACCCTATATCGGACTTCAGGTTTTTTTTGTTCTGAAATTTGGGAGTAAAATGGAATGGCAATCACTAGTCTGTTTTTTGAGGGTTTGTTTAGTCAACGCTGAGGTGCTCAAGTTCACTATAACAATGTCGTTAAGTAAGAGTTAGGAGGAAAAGTCTTGTGAAGATGGTCAGTTTTATTTTTCAGTCATTTCTCAGTGCTGCATCTTGTCGCAGCTCAGTGACATATTCTTCATTATGTTACTCAGTAGCGCAGGGTTTCTGGTGAAGATATTTCTGGAGTAAGTTGACCGAAAATTCAAACTTTCATTGGTTCTTCTAGCCACCATTCTTTGCCTGCGCATCCAAGAGCGACACGGCTCGCTGTTTCTCAACTTCCGTGGTGAATTTCATGCTGTTCTCTCTTGCCCGTTTCATTAATATATGGCGTTAAATTTTTAGGAGGTATAGTTTGCGAATATGGAAATAAGACGAAAATGTGATTGACGAACCTGACATACGTGACAATGAAGTATGCAATTTTGACATTCATCCGAGACTTGCTTTTCAAAGTGATCGAGGATAGAGGTCTGCTAGAGCCATAGTGACCAGAGAGTACAGTCGAGCGCCGTAAGTTCGATGTTACATCCTTTCCGCAAACTTGAAAATGACACCTACCGTTACACAGCGAAACAAAGAAACGATGTCTTCTGCACTGCAGTGTGTTGCACTTGCGTCTCAGAATACTTTGCGATGATTTTGATTCAGCCAATGTGCTTGCCAGACAACTCGCTGTGTCTGAGAAAGTGTGTTTGTGTCGTCGTCGTTCCGTAGCGCCGATTCTCTACTAATGTTGTAGAACATTCTTGACCAGGATTTTTTCTCACTCTCATCGTGAAATCGTATCTTTTTTTTACTCTATGCTTCATCTCGATGCTGGTTTCAGTAATAAGACATGTTTGGCAATCCAGTATGTAACTGCCTACCCCTCACACACACACACACACACACACACACACACACACACACACACACACACACACACACACACACACACA